ATCGCCAATTTTAGGTATATTAAAAAATATTTAATTTTCGTTTTTTTAAGTTTAACAAATTTTCCAGGTTTTATTTTATTGAATATTGAAAACTGAATCAATGAATATAAAAATTTTAAACTCAAAATTGATCGTACATAAATAAATGTAACAAGATATTTTCATAATTCAAAGTATTTTAAGAACAAGTGTTTAACAAGTAATGTGTATCACTACAGGAGCAACACAGTTAGCGCTGTAAAGCCTATCTTCAAGGGTTGCACCTTCCACTCGGGATGGCTATCCATCAGTTGCAGAGATGCTGCGACCGCGGGGTGGATACGGAACACTGTTCCAAAGCTGACACCATGGAAGGGGGCGAAGATGAAAGTGGTCGAGGAGGCAGAAACACCTCGCCGCATAATTCTTGTGGGACTCTTCTCGGAGCTGGACAGCTCTGCCAGTGAGGATGCGCTCAGTCTGCTTCAGGCACAGAATGACGGCCTGAGAATTCCGGACTGGCGCATTCTGAATCGAGTACGCAGGTCAACAATGGCGGAAATCACCATTGCAGTTGACCCGCTATCAGCGGACACGCTAAAGCACCGCGGGAACGTGGCAAACTATGGCTTTGGCGTAGTAAAACTTAGGGAGAAAGCCAAACCGTCGATGCCCGTGGTAGACAAAGATGCCGCCGACACCGAATACCCTAACTCGGAGGAGCAACCTTGCTGCTCCAAAGACGTCATCGTAGCTCCCAGGCAGCTACCCAATGACACGCAAATGCAGCAGAAGTCATCGGAGGATGGCACAGAGCTACACGTAGCACACAAAGCTCCAACAACGCCTCCGAAAACAGCAACAACAACATGCCCGACCCTACAACAGGTGCTGGAAGTAGCCCAAAAAAGCGTCGGACCCATCGCATCCCCAAAGCCTGCAAAACGGCCATCACTACATGGCAGCTCCAAAGCGGCTATGTCCAGCCGCAAAGGCAAGGGAGATGCAAGGACGGCCGAAGAAGCGGTCTTGCTGAAGGGCAACAGGGGGAAGAAGGTGGCTGCTCGCGGCCGAAAAGACCGCAAGTAATGGCACCTCTCCCCAAAAACTCCACAAATCTGAGGCACATTAAATGCCTCCAAGTGAACCTTCACCACGCGAAAGCAGCATCAGATGTTTTACATAGGAGGTTCACAAACGAAGGCTTAGGTGTAGCCTTCATCCAGGAACCCTGGATATTAAGAGGTGACGTCAAAGGCCTTAATATAAAGGACGGTAAGATTATCTATGCCGCCAGCTGTCGCCCAAGAGCGGCGATGCTTTATGTAACAAACTAACGTTTCTCCCTCTTTCACAGTTCATTACGGCAGATCTCGTTGCGGTATGGGCCAAAATTCCGACTCCTAGGCGGGTGCAAGAGGCAGTACTTGCCTCCGCGTACTTCCCGGGTGAGGAGGAGATAGCCCCGACACCTGAGGTAAAGGCGCTTACGGATCACTGCCGGCAGAGTGGTATACCCTGGATCCTCTGCTGTGATGCAAATGCCCATATCACTTTCTGGGGGAGCACCGACACCAACAAAAGGGGTGAGTACCACCTTGAGTTTATAAGTAGTTATAATATAAGTATTATAAACCATGGCAATGAACCAACGTTCAGGAACGCTATTAGAGGGGAAGTCTTAGATCTTACTCTAAGTAGTCAGAACATGGCAGCGTCTGTCACAAACTGGCGCGTCTCAGGGGAGGTATCAATGTCGGACCATATGCACATAGAATTCGACATTGGCCACTTTCCTGAGCATGAACTAGTTTTTAGAAATCCCAGAAAAACGAACTGGGAATTCTTTCGCTTTATCATGGAAGAAGGTCGAAACAGCCATGGTGGTCAAATTACGACTGCGCACGAGCTTGAGACTGAAGCTGAACAGCTTCATTCAGACATTGGAATAGCTTTCAATAGTAGCTGTCCCCAAGGAAAGGTAAAATCCAAACGTGATGTGCCTTGGTGGAGCAAGAAGCTTGAGCAAATGAGATGCCAAGCCAGAAAACTATTCAATAGAGCAAAGAATACGGGTGATTGGAATCCGTACAAACTTGCACTAACTTCTTACAACAAAGAATTGCGGAAATCCAAAAGAGCTAGCTGGCGAAACCACTGCGAGGAAATAAAGAGCCTCCCAGAGGCAGTACGCCTCCAAAAAGCTTTAAATAGGGAACACAAAAATACGATCGGCACTCTAAAGAAACCAGATGGTAGTTATACTCAGCATCCGGAAGAGACTTGCAGACTTCTGCTAGACACTCACTTCCCGGGCTGCAAAGCGGGCTATTATCTACCGGAATTGGGTGTCCCAGCACGCACTTCTGGTAGAGAGCAAAGCCTTGCAACTAAACTTACCACGGTAGAAAGAGTGCAATGGGCGGTATCTACCTTCAGCCCATACAAATCACCAGGACCAGATGGGGTCTATCCTTGTCAACTGCAACAAGGTAGTAACCACATAGCCCCAGTCCTCTCCAGACTATACAGAGCGTCGCTCCTACTGGGTCACATTCCCAGTAGATAGACTGAGGCTAAGGTGGTATTTTTACCGAAGGCAGGTAAACCGGAGCAAATGCCTTCATCCTACAGACCAATTAGCCTCAGCTCCTTTCTCCTAAAAGGCATGGAGATATTCTTGGATCAACATATCAGAGAAGTCAACCTAGCGGAACGACCACTGAATAAGAACCAATTTGCCTATCAACCAGGCAAGTCCACTGAGACTGCCATTCACAGCCTTACATCGAAAATCGAAAAGGCTCAGGAGTCTAAGAACATAGCCCTTTGTGCCTTCATTGACATTTCAGGGGCTTTTGACAACACGTCATACAGGGCAATAAGAGATGCCCTGATATGCAAGGGAGTGAGCCCCATCATAATAAATTGGGTGCTTTCTATGCTAAAAACAAGGAAGATCAGGATGGAGCTGGGAGGCACGAAAGAATAGATTACAGCCACAAGAGTTTGCCCTCAAGGGGGTGTACTCTCTCCTCTTCTGTGGACTATGGTTATAGACGAACTCCTGTTCCTACTGAACGACCATGGCTTTGAAACACAAGGATATGCAGACGATCTGGTAATTTGTGTAACAGGGCTGCATGACGAAACGATCTCCAACCGCATGCAACAAGCCCTGCGCATTACGCAAAGATGGTGTGACACCAAAGGATTATCCATTAATCCTACTAAATCTATTCTGGTTCCGTTTACCCGGAGGAAAAAGTTATCCATGACAGAATTGACTCTTGGCGGCACTAGAATAGGGCTCTCAAATGAAGCAAAATACCTGGGGGTGTGGCTAGATAAGACACTCACCTGGAATGTACATTTGGATGCAACCGTAAACAAGGCAATGAGAGCCTTCTTTGCATGCAAGCGACTTTACGGGAAGACATGGGGACTCTCCCCCAAAATGACTTACTGGTCAATCAACACAGTTGTGAAGCCGTTAGTCACCTATGCATCCTTGGCATGGTGGACAAAAGCGACACAAAGAACTGCTAGCGAAAAACTAAGCAAACTACACCGAATGGTGTGCATTGGTATAACAGGGGCTATGCGGACCTGTGCTGCTGATGCACTTAGTGCTCTTGTAGGCATAACGCCCTTCCCAATTCTAATAGAGAGGGAGGCCAGTCTCTCGGCACTGAGAATCCTAAACACTTCCGAGTTAAAAACCGGAAACATGACAGGTCATATGAAGGTCCTTATGAAATTCATAAATGACCCCATAATGCATATGAGGGACTCAGTAGCTCCGATACTAGTAATTTCTAGGAATTTCAA